CCCCAAAACCCCAAAACCCCAAAACCCCAAAACCCCATAATTTTTAATAAAAATTGATTGCCCAAAAATGGTAAGATTCCCAGTCAAATTTCACTTAAAAGTAGTCTAACTCAAAATACAGACCTTAGTTTTACCTAATGTGACAACTGGATGAGAAGGAGATCTCAAAGACATCCAATATGATTTCTATGGTACAAGTATTGCAGTCTGTGATACTGCAGGAAAAGTTCAAATTATTGACCAAACACAACCAGAGGGTGAGAAGGAGACATAATCTTTAGAAAAGTTCCATACTTTCCCCCATGCTCATAGTGGAGTAGTAGCAGGTGTTGACTGGGCCCATCCGGAGTACTTCCTAACAACTCATTTCTAGATTTGGATCCATTGTGGTTTCTGCAGGTGAAGAAGACCATACAGTACTTTAATTTCATAAATTTAGATCAAATTTTGGAAAAATGTAGAGGGAATCTGGGAAGAGTCCTTCCCAACTGGATATTTCGGAAACGAAATGAGTGTCTATAATGAGGTACAACACCATAGTCAAATTTTAGAACTTCAGTCTACTCCCAGATGATCCTAAATTAGGTATTTACCTTGAAAATGAGAACATCAGTTGACTCAAATTCGCGCCTAAAGAATATGGCTGCTGACTCTTCGTTGGTTGCGAATCAGGAGCAATTTACACACTCAATTTTGTTAGTAATCTTCATGCATAAATTCCATAGAGGGAAGATATGACCTTCAAGAGATACATAGTTTTGATGGGAAAATTCTCACTATTTCATTCGGTCCCTCAACTTATTCCCTAACTGATATTGAAGAGTCAGAGAATGATCCAGGACTTGCCCCCATAAGATTTGCAGTTGCTGTTGAAGGAAATAGCAGAATCTTCCAAGTACTATATAAAAAGGATGAGCAATGGATCTCAGAAACAATAGGTCATCATGACAACGCTCAATGCAATACTGTCTCCTGGGGTTCCAATATTGGATCACATGCTGATATTCTTGCCTCAGGTGGAGATGACAAGAACATATTAGTATGGAGTAAAGATAGGATAGACTCTGATTGGATTATAAGAGCTACCATCAATCTTGCAGAAGAGGTTTCCTCAGTATCTTGGAACCAGAGAGGTAATTTCCTTCTAAATCCATAGGCCCGACCTCCCTCCAAGCTACTCTAAAAGATGGCACTACTCTTATTTTTAAAGAAACAATGCTTGACAACTCAAAGTATGATTTAATGGCTGAAATAAATCCTGAAGGTGAAATATTCAATAGCGAATAAAGCTCATTCTCAATATTCAATACAAATTCTAAAAGTTGGGGTTTTGGGGTTTTGGGGTTTTGGGGATTTGGGG